ATCCTAGACCTGGGTACAGTCTCGGATCCTAGACCTGGGTACAGTCTTGGATCCTAGACCTGGGTACAGTCTCGGATCGTAGACCTGGATAAAGTCATTGATCCTAGACCTGAGTACAGTCTCGGATCCTAGACCTGGATACAGTCTCGGATCCTAGACCTGGGTACAGTCTCGGATCCTAGACCTGGGTACAGTCTCGGATCCTAGACCTGGGTACAGTCTCGGATCCTAGACCTGGATACAGTCTCGGATCCTAGACCTGGGTACAGTCTCGGATCCTAGACCTGGGTACAGTCTCGGACTGATAAAGTTGAACGTTCAAAGCTTTTACTTTGAACTTCATCAGTCCCACCACTGGCGATCAGGATCCATACACACCAACGTGCATATTTTATGTTTTGTACATGTCAACGAAACACTAAATTGGTAAAGTGCCAAAGAACAATTACTACACCTGTTTTTATGTATGTGCATCAGAATAATGTCTAGTTCAGATGTTATTGTGACCTAAAGATGGAGATACTCGGCGAACTGTTTGATTCAAACTAAGGCAAACGAACACGTCACGCCAGGTGTTTCTAACTGGACATGGACAAATATCAGTTTACACGACTTTATGACGACACAGAAAAGCAAAGATCTATATTTGTTTAAAAGAGCTCTGCGTTCTCGTGAACTCGGCAGATAATAAAACCAGTTCTTATCCAGAACTGACTTTGTTTGGTTTTGGATATATTGTTTTTTTTTTTCAACGTTAAACTATTTTAAAGTTTGTTCTTAAACATAAGTTCACAATTATCCAGACCAAATCATTAAACACTTGAAGATATTTTATTAAAGTGCATGAACGTAACTTTCTCTTCCTCCACTCCATCACACAAACTGAGCTCTCTTCTGTAAAAGCACAAGTCTGATGTGTGAAGAGCCCGGCCTCCAGAAACGAGCCTCCAATAAAGCCCCTGGCCTTTCTTCCTCCCACTGAGCCTCTGCTCATCACCGCTTTGACTGTCATGGTGCTTGTCTTGGTGGGGGGGTGGAAGCCTGGTGAGAGGTCTTGTTGGATTAGATAGCGCCCTGTTTGATAAAGGTTACTGCACTGTAGTACTGGCAGGGTGCTGGTGTGTGTGGGAGGAGCTTACACACTCAAACATACATGCACACACAGAGTCACACTTTCAACATGTGCTGCATCTGATACATCTGTTCAGGAGCCACAGATTTAACTTTGTAAATTTGTTCAGTTTACCAATAAAACTAAAGATTTATAGTTGTTTAAACATGTTTGATTTTGCTTTTGTTCAGGTTATTTTTATATATTGTCCTTGTTGTTTACACCTATCACTAAGTATGCTTCATAATTGATGTATTTTTTTTTTATGAATGGCACTAAGATATTTCATGTACACTTGCATTTTGGTATAAAATGTCAGTCTGTTTAAATCAGACAGTTTTGCTCACATCACATCTGTAATTCTCCAAGGACAACACGTTTGTCTCCTTATTTCCATATAATTGTTGCCATGAGAGGGCACTGCGATGCAAAATCTGTTCTTCAGAAGTGAGTCCGAGCTGAAATGAGTGTTTGAGTCAGTCAAAAAAATAACCATCAATTCATTTATTTTTTAGTGACCTGTGTAACGCAGACTTCTGAGGATGACTCACGTCTCAGATATGATTATAGAGACTTTTTCTAAGTCGATCCAGATGTGGCCTGACTTTAATTCTGTGTCATGGGGCGCTTATTGAAGTGTCAGACACAGATTCTCTGCAGTGTCTGTAACCATGGCAGCTGGAGAGTGGAAAATAAGCCTCATTTTCTCACTTTAACTTGACCAGTTGCACAAAATCAAACTGCGTTTTAGCTCAGCCCATCTCTGATCAGTCACTGACAAAACAGATTAGGTCTTAATTCGTCTGAATTTAGGAAAAAGCTGCTTTTTGTGCTTCATTAAATCAAATTATTTATTATAGGAAGTTTCACTTTAATATGAGCTATTTAAGGAGATTTGCATAAGGGAATGATGGCAGGTTTAGGATTACCAAGTAGCTGTTGTGGGTGGCATGGTAGTAAAGTGGTTAGGAGCTGTCGCCTTACAACAAGAAGGATCACATCCCGGCCTTTCTATGTGGAGTTTGTATGATCCCACCATGGATCCTCCTGGTACCGGGTTTCCTCACTTAGACCCACAACATGCTTGTTAGGTTCATTGGTAACTCCAAAACCTGCCCCTGGATGAGAGGATGAATTAATGTTTGTCTCATCTGCCTTTGTGTCTCTCTGAAAGACTTGTGACCTGTCCAGGTGTACCTCAACTTCTGCATAGTGACGGCTGCTCACAAGCCAAAAAGGAAAAAGCAGGTAAATGGGATGGATGGATGGATGGATGGATGGATGGATGGATGGATGGATGGACGGATGGATGGATGGATGGATGGATGGATGGAGGGACAGATGGCTGGCTGGCTGGATGGATGGATGAACATATGGATGGATGGAGAGATGGACAGATGACTGGATGGATGGATGACTGACTGACTGGATGGATGGATGACTGGATGGATGGATGAATGGACAGAAGGACAGATGGCTGGATGGACAGATGGATGGCCAGTTGGATGGATGGCTAGATGGATGGATGGACAGATGGCTTGATGGATGGATGGATGGCTGACTGGATGAATGGACAGAAGGACAGATGGCTGGATGGACAGATGGATGGCCAGTTGGATGGATGGCTAGATGGATGGATGGACAGATGGCTTGATGGATGGATGG